ACACATGTTAACACACCTTTACCACACGACGCTCCGAAGGCCCCCGCAGGGCCCCAAGAGGCCCAGGAGGGCCCCCGCCCCGAAGTGTTACACGGCACCAGCACCAGCACCCACGGGCAGCCCAAGCAGCACCAGCAGCATCAACGGCAGCAGCAACAGCAACATTTGTAGCAACAACAACGAGAGAGGCACCAACGGAAATATGATTCCAAGATGGGCCCAAAAGTGTTTCGAGAGGATCGCCATATTGCCCCTGTCGCGCCAAAGTGCCAACCCCTGTAAGAAAGGACCCCACTATGACCCCAGAGCGACCCTGCGGCCCCAAGAGAACACCGAGACGAACCCATTGTCTGTCGACTGAACTGAGACCACCGCGCGACTCCGATTCTATTCCGAGGTGGTCCCAGAACGACCCCATGAGTCCGAGACGACTTCGAGATTGCCCCAAGATGGCCCTTTGAAGCCCGAATTGACCCCAGCAGTGTGCCAATATGGCTTCAATGTGACTCCGATGCGTTTCTTCCTTCTCCCCGTGCCTTTGGGTGGGGCCGATAGGAAGGATTGGGGTGATGGCCCTCCACCCCTTCGTCTTCTTGATCTTCCTCTCCCCCTCGTCCTCGTCGTCCTCGTCGCCCTCGTCGTCGTCGCCGCTGTCTGCCTGGCCGCCTTGGCCCCGTACATAGTAAAACACCGAATCCCTAACACAGACCGAATCCATCCATTCTCTGACGAATGACGAAAAATAGTACGCTGCGCAGAAGCATGCTAATGCCAACACGAATATCAATATTATAACAATAAAAAAATTACAAATACACAAACAAGACTATGACGCTTCCGGAGACGATTGGGGAGACTACTAAGCATAGTACGCATACATCTAAGAAGCCGATTTCGACAACAACGGATACGGACCATACGAGCAAGGACAGCCACCATACGAAGAAGGTGCATCTGTACACCACTAATGATAGTCGTGCACGTAAGACTAGTACTAAAGCCAAACATGCACTAATACTCAACCGACTGTTAATAATACAAAGCCTGGGAGTAACAAGAAGAGGAGGAGGAGGAGGAGGGCGACGATGAGTTGGAGGAGGAGGGGGAGGAGGAAGAGGGTACACGTAGAAGGGGGAAGAGGCATGCTCAAGGAGAAGGGGAAGAGGATGATGATGATGATGATGATGATGATGATGATGATGATGATGATGATGATGATGATGATGATGATGATGATGATGATGATGATAATGATGATGATGATGATGATGATGATGATGATGATGATGGTGATGGTGATGGTGATGGTGATGGTGATGGTGATGGTGATGATGCAAATGATGATGATAATGATGATGATGCTGATGATAATGGTCATGCTGTTGGTGTTGATGTTGATGATGATGATGATGATGCTGATGATGATGATGATGATGATGATGATGATGATGATGATGATGGTGCTGATGATGACGATGATGATGACGATGATGATTATGATGATGACTATGATGATGGTGCTGATGATGATGACGACGACGACGATGAGGAGGAGGAGGGGGGAAACGGGAGGAAGAGGAAGAGGAGGAGGAGGCGGAGGAGGAGGAGGAGCACGAGGAGGAGGACGATGAGGAGGAGGAGGAGGCCGAGGCGGAGGCGGAGGAGAAGCAGGAGGAGGATGAGGACGATAATGAGGAGGAGGATGAACAGCAGGAGGAGGAGGAGGAGCAGGAGCAGGAGCAACAGGATAAGGAGGAGGAACAGGAGGCCGAGGAGCAGGAGCAGGAGGAACAGGAGGCGGCGGCGGCGGAGGAAGAGGAGGTGGAGGAGAAGGAGGAGGAGGAGGAGGGGGAGGAGGAGGAGGAGTTTGGAGCGTTAGAGCAGGAGGAGGTAGAGGGGGCTGAGGAGGATGAGGTGGTGGTGGCGGTGGCGGTGGTGGTGGTGGCGGTGGCGGTAATGGTGTCGGAGGATCATGGTGACAACGGTGATGATGTTGAGATGATGATGATGACGATGACGACGATCATGATGATGCTGCTGATGGTGATGATGATGATGATGATGATGATGATGCTGGTGGTGAGAATGACGATGGTGATGCTGACGATGATGACGATGATGACGACGATGCTGATGCCGATGCTGATGCTGACGGTGATGATGCTGATGAAGTTGATGCTAATAAAACTGATGATGTCGACGATGGAGATGATGCCGGTGATGATGATGACGATGCTGATGACGATAAGGTTGCTGATGATGATGGTGATGATGAGGCTGATGCTGATGATGATAAGGATGATGATGATGATGATGATGATGATGATGATGATGATGATGATGATGATGATGATGATGATGATGATGATGATGATGATGATGATGATGATGATGATTATGATGATGATGATGATGATGATGATGATGGTGATGATGATGATGATGCTGATGATGATGATGGTGACGATACCGGTTATGATTATTATGATGACGTGATCGTTGATAGTGGTGTTGCTGATGATGACGAGTATGTTGTTGTTGTTGATGATGCTGATGATGTTGATGACGATGATGCTGCTGATGATGATGAGCAGGCGGGCGGATGAGGGTTCGGGGGCGGAGGAGGAGGATGCGGACGATGATGTTGATGTTGACGATGCTGATGCTGATGATGTTACTGATGATGGTGATGCGGGTGATTATGATAATGATACTGCTGACGATGATGATGCTGCTGATGATAATGCTGCTGATGATGATGGTGTTAATGCTGATGATGCTGCTGATGCTGGTGATGATGCTGACGACGATGCTGATGCTGATGCTGATTATGATGATGGTATAGACGATGATGCTGACCCTGATGACGATGAAGATGATGCTGATGCTGATGATGCTGCTGATGCTGATTATGATGATGCTGCTGCTGCTGATGATGGTGCTGATAATGCTGCTGCTGTTGATGCTGCTGCTGCTGCTCATGATGATGAGGAAACGAAGGCGGAGGAGGAGGAAGAGGAGGCGGAGGTGGAGGAGGAGGAGGGGGTTGAGGGGGAGGAGGAGGCGGGGGAGGAGGAGGAGGAGGAGGAGGGGGTTGAGGGGGAGGAGGAGGAGGAGGAGGAGGAGGAGGAGGAGGAGGAGGAGGAGGAGGAGGAGACGGTTGGAGCGCACTCGCGGGAGGGGGAACAAACATACGAGGAGGCGGAGGAGGAGGAGGAGGTTGTCGAGGAGGTGGCGGAGGGGGAGGAGGAGGAGGAGGAGGAGGAGGAGGAGGAGGAGGAGGAGGAGGCGGAGGAGGAGGAGGAGGAGGCGGAGGAGGCGGACGAGGAGGAGGAAAGAGGAGGAGGAGGAGGAGGAGGATGAGGACAAGGAGGAGGAGGGAGGAGGGGGAGGACGAGGAGGACCAGGAGGAGGCGAAGGCGGCGGCTGAGGCGGGGAAAGGGGCGAAGGATGATGATGATGATGATGATGATGATGATGATGATGATGATGATGATGATGATGATGATGATGATGATGATGATGATGATGATGATGATGATGATGTGACGATCGATGATGATGAGATGATGATGATGATGTGATGATTGATGATGATGATGATGATGATGATGATGATGATGATGATGATGATGATGATGAGATGAAGAGGATGATGAGGAGGAGGAGGAGGAGAGGAGGAGGAGGATGGGGAAGCGGAGGAGGAGGAGGAGGAGCAGGATGAGGAGGAGGAGGAGGCGGAGGGGGATGATGACACACGGAGAAAGGGGAGGAGGAGGGCACATAGAGGAGCAGGATGAGGAGGAGGAGAAGGAGGAAGACGAGGAGCAGATGGAGGAGGAGGAGGACCATGATGACGATGATGATGATGCTGCTGCTGCCGATGATGATATGATGATCATGCTGCTGATGATGATGATGATGCTGATGATGATGATGATGATGATGATGATGATGATGATGGTGATGATGATGATGATGATGATGATGATGATGATGATGATGATGATGATGATGATGATGTT